GGAGTCATTAAAGCCTTAATATCTCATTATTTATTCCTACATTATTTATTCCTACAGACATCCAGTTGCCTTTTTAGTTCTTACACCCAAATATTCAAAAATTTCACTTTTCAGTTTATTGTGGGCTACTGAAAATTAATACTAGATTTTTAATGAAAAAAAGAGTGGAACTATATACAATTAGGAACAATGAAGCACAGAAGAGAACTTCTATTGCAGTTGCAGACATAAGTCACAGATGCAAGAGGACAGGCGCTCCGACCAACCGTCACGGGCAGTAAGAAGGAATGGAGGGCACAGGGCCGGTAGCGCCTCATGTACCGGCGTGACGTGGGACTCGAGAGCATCAGAGCCAGCCCTATGGATATCACTACGGCAAAAAATTCCAACAATGGGTGCACGTGGACGCGCACACATCTAGAATGGAATCGACATGAGCAAGCGCTCGAAGAAGAATCTTACTTTAAAATTAAAACAAGAGTAAACCGAAAACACCACATATTTTCTACATTACCTGCATCAGATGACTGAGATTTTTCTATCAGAACTTCTCGTATCTTCTCCACCCAGAGGTAAAGGATGCTTTCACCAAGATTCTTCCTGGAAGTTATACAAAATTCACAGTAAGTAAAAGGGCCTTTTCGGAGGCTTCACTTGGGAAATTATTTACATTCAATAAATAATATGAACAAATTTTAGAAGTACATTGTAGAAACATTATAGATTGAAATGCTGAAGGATTTAGACATGCATGTGGGAGTAGAGTTCTTTTCTGAGTGGTGGTTTACAGTTTGAAATTCTTGATCACTTCCATTACAAGGTGCTGCAACTTAGGCTTTCTTCAGCTCCAAAGGTACCACTCAGATTTCCCTTAGCATACTAGGGATTTATGTACGTTCATGACTCCCATTACCACATTGTACATGAAGCCTCTTTAAATGTCTCAAAATATTGTGCAATTCTATAGTATAAAACCTCAGTAGAATATTGTCCCTACTCAGAAGGTGATGGTCCTATTTTTCACTCCCATGTTTTTTCCTAAGCCTCATGATCTTCAAGGTAAAGCAAGATTGCACAGATTGCAATCTAGAAGAACACTCAGACCCTGATCCTGCAAACGCTCTGAACATGCTTAACTTTAAATCAGTAGTTCATATCGACTCCAATGGAATTATTCATGTGCTTACAGTTAAGTCTGTGCATAAGTGTCTGCAGGATTGGACAGTTAATAGTTACTACACCTCTACCTCGATATAACGCTGTCCTCGGGAGCCAAAAAATCTTACCGTATTATAGGTGAAACCGCGTTATATTGAACTTGTTTTGATCCACCAGAGTGCGCAGACCCCCCTTCCCCCCCGGAGCGCTGCTTTACCACGGTGTATCCGAATTCGTGTTATATCGGGTTGCGTTATATCGAGGTAGCGGTGTATTTGGAAAGAACAAAACCTTTCCCAACTCTTTACAGACTAAGGGGAGAAATCCCAGGGAAAAGCCCTTCAACATAAACTTTTATTAAAATGGATCATTGACGGTGTACCTGTACTGGATGGGTTGAAATTAAATTCTAGGAGATTTATTATTATAATCAGTTACTACTTCTATGAAAAATCTCTACATTCTTGAAATAAGGCTGCCCTGTACTTGAGACTTGGTGTTCAATTCCTACTTTAATGAAATATTACTCTCAATTCTAGAGCTAGATCAGATTCTTGGTTTCTGAAGCTAATCCTTTAATATCTGTTTTAACTAAGCACTCCTCAACCCACCTCCTGGACTGTGATACTTCTAGGTAATCTCCTATAGTGTGGATCTGCAGAGGCAATTCAGGATGAAGAAAGAAAGATTACCCATCAGTAAATGGAGTTCCGGCTGTACTGCTTCTGCAGATCCACAGTGATGATTCTTCCTTACTCTATTTTTGAAGGCCTTCGGTGAATATTTGAAGGTAGAGAAGAACTGAGAACTGCTATAAAGACTGCATTTAGCGTTTCCTGGTTCTTGCACTTTCAGATCTTAGACAGACACAAATAGCTTCAAACAACTTTATAACTATCAATGGTTCCATTGCTCACAAGACATGGCACAAAACTTCCATGATGTGGATCTGCAAAGGCAATAAATTCAGAAAATTCCAATTATTGGTTATGAATCGTGTTACTTGTTTTAATTACAGGTGAACAGACTTGCTGACAGTACAGTTATTCTTTCATAAGCAATAAAGGAGAGCATGACATATGTACAAAAAAGCAGATTGAATGCTGCAGCAAACATAAATACTATTATAAAAAGTTAAATCAATTATTTGTTTTTAATTATTTTGTAATAGTTGATCCATCTTTCCTCCAAACAATTCAGGAGATCCAACACACGGAATAAGTCCCTCAATTTCTCTCAGTTTTTTCTTGTGAGTCACAATTCTATAGTGTAAATTTATTTTTATAATCATGTTGATTAAATATGGAGTTATTTCAAGGATTCATACCTTAAATGCTTTTTATTATGTATGAAAATATCCTAATTTATTAAGATTATACAAAGTCAGACACAGAAATCAAGAAAGTGTATTGATAAGGGTGAAACTTACTTCCAATAATAAAAGTTAAATAATTAATTAGAAATAAGTTTATAAATGTACCTCGGTGTCTCTGGGTGTTACAGACATGGTACTGCATGTTTACCTTTACCTGTATATATTCTTCCTTTTCCTTCACGTAATCATATTTTTCCTTGAAGTAGTTAAACTAATAACATGTAAAATTGTACTTGTAATTTACACAGAAAGGAAAATACTTATTAGGAACACGTTTGTATTTTGCACAGAATTCAAAATCTATTACAAGCTGAAACTGCATGTAGTAGAAAATGAAAATTTAGAACACTGTCAAAAAAATTTCCAATTATGATTTTTTAAAAAGATGCTTAAAATTCATATGTTTGCCAGGGTCACAAGACCAAAATGCATCAAATGTGCAAGCTCAGGCTTCACTTTCAATAACTTTTTTCAAGCTACTGCCACCTTCTGGAATAATAATGCATAAGTAGAATTCTGTGGCAGAAAAATAGGTTTAAAAATGTAAACTTTCAGTAAATCTGTATATTACTACTGAACATAATCAAAATATTTAGGCACTAATATTATTAAGAAAAGACTCAAACAAAGAATGAGGAAAGTAAAGACTTGTAGCTGTGACCTCAGAATCCAGACATACTCTAGAATGAGTTAAGTACCCTATTTCATGCTCCTTTCTGACTAGTATGTATACCAGTACCATTTTTTAATACTTGCAATTTATTACATTCTGTATAATGAAGAGCAAGAATTTTAACTATAGAGTCATGAATAATTTTGTTCAGCAGTTCTATTCATTATATTTAATGTTTCCCACTTCATAGCAGATTTCATATTACTGAACACTCATTAGGAAATGTTTTGGAATGGATGAGATCAGACAAATCTCATGCAGTGTCACCGATGAGTCCAGGGAACACCCTGAGGACTTCTGGAATATTAGACACACCTTAAACCCTGCCTATATCTATGCTACTCCCATTCTGGTTGTTCCTGTTCCAAGCCTGCTATGATTTTCTTAGCATTTGTACCAAAGATGTTAAATTAAACTGTTCATTTAACACAGTAGTTCCCAAACTTTAACAACATGCAAACCCCTTTCACTAAAATGTTAAATCTCACAAACCCCCTCCTAAAAATGAATATTTCCAGGGATTTTCTCCCTTACCCGAGCATAAATTATAACAGCAGTGATCTTGGAAATATAAAATTTGTTTTTTTATGACATGCTTATTACACACTATTTATTATTATTCATAATTACAGTATTAATTTTATTACATTATGAAAATGGCAACACTCTTCCAAAAATCTCACTTTTGTAGCTTGTATCACTTTGATTAAGCCTGTTATAAGACAAGGCTCCTACGTTTCACCAAGGAGTATCAGTTATGAAACAGCATGAAAGATGTAACCAACTCAAATAAAGTGTTTCTACACAAGCATTCGGGTCTTGAGTAGTCCAGGCAAACAACGCACATTACAACAAAGCTTAAACTTGTTCTTCATAATAATTAAAAAAAAAACACTAGCAGACAATTTAATTTTAAAAACAGAAAAAAATATCCATCTTCCTTTCCATTTCTTATAAGGAGTCTTGAAGTTTAAATCTCCTCAGTGTGATGGATGCGCTTGCTTTGATCTGCATAGCTCTTAGAAGTCCCCAGGACTCTGGGCTGCCCTAGGAACGGCTCTGTCCGCCATTAGGGAATTTTTTCCCCGAGAACCCCCTGTAACATTTAGTGAACCCCCAGGGGTTCACAAACCCCAGTTTGGGAACTACTGATTTAACAGAAGTCTGATACTGAGAGTCTCTAGGAAACGAATAAGTATCTACACTTGTTGAATGTGTAACTTTTAATATATTAAGGGACCCAGCGTTCTGTTTGTGGTTTGTAATTCTGCAATCTAAAACCAACATTATGCATATCTGTATTGTCAATGACTAAAACTTTTTAATGAGATAGGAAAAAGCACTTAAACTGCAATGTTCATGGGCAGGATAGCATAGGGACCAGTTTAAGAAAAGGTACACGTACACTTACGGCAGTGTGCAAAGGAGACACTGCACCCCAGCTAGCACAGGTATAAACAACAGTGTAGATGGCAAGGCATGGCTTAGGTGAATAGAGTGCCTCACGCCCCTGAAATCCCAGGGATGCTCTTACACGCCCAAGCAGCATTTCCGTCTACACAGATATTTTTAGCAGTGTGATCTCCTACTGCCCCCTCCCCACCGGAGCCTTTCCCTGGCGCTGCTTCCTGGCTGCCAGAGCCTTTCATTGCCGCACACAGTTACACACCGCAGTGACAGGTGTGGACGCTGCTTGCCTTCCACTGCAGCGTGTAGCTACATGTGTAGAGCCTGTACTCTACATATTGCTATACCTGTAGACATAGTCAAATACAGAGCCTTTCACCTCTAGATCTCTGATTGAATCAGACACAGGTTGGCAGTGACCAAAAGTCAGACAGATCACTTAAAATAATTAGTGAAAGATTTGAGAATAATTTAAGTTATTTCTGTTTAACAGAAGATTATCCAAGGTTTGGGTAAGTCAGAGCTCAGAGCCCTCCAGAAATAAGTAAGTGCTGTAGAGCTATGGTAGTCAATCCTCCTGCCACCAACTTAAAACTGAACCAGGGCAGGCCCAGCATGTTAGAGACCACTGCTTTTAATACAGACTGCCGAATAAGCTAGAAGGACAGATTTGTTGCTGCAATCAGTTTCTCCTAAGCAAAACAAAGAGGGGGGTGGAAATGTCAAGTAGCCAGTTACATTTCCCACATTCCCAGCCTGGGGACAGTTCTAACTTGCACCAGCTAACTATCATCCACAAGGGTCCATGCACCAGCTAGGAACAGTCAGAGTATATCACACTCTGGCCACTGCACCCCAAACCCTGATATGGCCCCTGTTCCAAATGCTGTGGGTCAAAAGGTGCAGAAGCCAGCTACTGTGTATCTACACATGCTGGAGACTCCCCCATGCCAAGCATCACCCTGGCTGGGGAATCTCTGTTCCATCTGCACTGCTGGGGAATGTATGGCCATTAAAGGTCCCTATAGCACTTTTCATAGGAATAGAGCTGTTAACCCACATGCTCTGTTCAAATTTTAACTTTGGTAATTACATTCTGCCTGCCTAGATTCTCCAGGGCTTAGTTAGATAAGGTATCTGCTTCCAGTCCCAAACTAACTACTGTGTTGTTTCGTGCCATTTAAAAGCTACCATAGTCCCCACCAAAGGTGTTTGTATTTCAGTACTCAATGACATGACTTCTGTGCTTAATGTGTATTTCACTTTTGTTAGGTTCATATCACGCTTTAGGATCTGATTGGATAAATAAACTATATAAAACTGTTTCTATTATCCCATGCTAACACCAATAAAACCCGCAAAAACACAGTCTGAGCATTTCTAAATATTTAGTTATTTATTCTCACACATTATGAGAAGTTCTGTTATCTGCACATTACGTTAACAAGCCTCTTCTAGCTACTGAGTGGCTTTATAGTTCATATTTTCTAAAGCTACTTTTATTTAAAATTCACTTTTTCTTTAGCTGAAACATTTGCTTTTAATAAAAACTGGTTTTCTGCCTGCGTTCAAAGGTCTGAGTAGGTATTTTCAGATCCTGCAGTTTAATATATGGATATAGATTGGACATAAGGAATTTGACTTCCTGGGACCAAACGCTAAAAGTAACCTAACATATATTATAAGTCAAAATAAATAATTCTATATCAATGGTACAAAGGGTTTAAAGAATATAATTATAATACAAATTATCCATCAAGATTAATGCTTGTAACTTTATATAATGCCCTGTTCTCAACATAATTTAAGATACGTACAAAATGTACAGTATAGACTCATAGACTTTAAGGTCAGAAGGGACCATTATGGTCATCTAGTCTGACCTCCTGCATGATGCAGGCCACAAAAGCTGGCCCACCCAATTTCCCTTATCTCTGCTATCTATTAGATTAGACTGTTTTATTTATGCACAAGTCTTACTTCATTTCAGCTGTTGCAGCAATTACCTCAATCCTTCCGATTCATGCATCTAGTACTCCTGGGGGAATTTTGCGTCACTGCGTGTGTGCAGAATTCATGGCCCCCACAGATTTCTTTGCTTACCCACAGAAAAATGACTTCTGATGGTGAAGCAAAGGGAAGTCGCAAGAGCGGTCATGCACCCACTCCCTGGCAGTGCAGACAGGTCAGTTTGGGCACCCAGAGCAGCCGGTAGAGACATAAATCACTGCCTGGGAGGCGTGAGGGCTGGGTAGTCATGTGTGTGAGAGAGAGAGAGAGACACTGTCCCTCTTGCTTGCTATTGCAGCACGCTCGCTGTGGAGGGGCAGGACTTCGGGGTATTTCTGAAGAAGTAGGCGTGGTGCAGGCTCTGTTCCTTCAGGGAGAGGAGAATGTGGCAGCCTGCCTGCTTAGTGAATTATTCCCATTGTTCTTAAAGTGAATTCCCCCAGAAGTATAAAACAGGTGTAAAAATTTTAAGGGTCCTTTACATTGCCAGAGTGGTGTAAAGGAGCCTTATTGTAAAGGACAGTATGACCTTATAAATGCTTATGGTGCTTTAGTGATTAGATCTGGTCGAAATTTTTGGACTGAAAAAATTTCCTATCAAAATGTGCTCCATGAATTGTTTGCTACTGACCTTTTTGGAGATGGTCAGTAGCCAGTATAAATTGTGAGTTTGTGTCCCCAGCTCTCCCTTGCTCTTCAGTTACCTATGATGTAACACTGAGCATATGGCTGCATATATTTGTTGACTAATAATTAGAAGTAAAGGGTCAATACTATCTATATTACTATTAGACACAGGGGGGTGGGAGATTTCCTCCAATGTTCCCCACTCCCATTCTCCATCCATTGTATTGTAGTTTAAATAAATTACCAAAATAATTGAAACTAGGCAGATTATATTGCATTATTTTGACAAAAAAATACAGAATTTTGAAGAATTTTAAAATATTGTGCGCATAATTTTTAATTTTTTGGCACAGAATTCCCCCAGGAGTAATTTAGTTAACATGATAGGTTTAGCGAGATGTGCAACTAAAAATACAATAAGTAATTTTTAGAATTTTCCATCTTCTGCCACTTACACATAGATTTCTTCCAGGCTATTTGTTAGTTCGATATAATCCTGTCCTCGAAGCCAAGGGGCACTAGAATGACAAAAAAAAAAAAAAAAAATACAACGAAGTTAGTGCCTACAAACTGTGAATTTTGGTGTCTTTGTTTAGCTTGAAAAATGACTGATTTAAAAAAATTACACTCAAAAGTAAAACCTTTAAGACAAAATATTGTCAACTGTTCCCACTGATAAAGATTTTCGTTTTCTAACATCTCAGGGTAAGCAGTCTTCCAAGATATTCTACTGCTCCCCTCGAACGCCCTACTTTGGGATTACCCCATCACTCCATTTGAAGAAGGCTCAACACACTTGCCATTAGCATGGTTCCAGAGTTGCTCTGAGCATAACGTAAGCTCTCTCCACTGCCTCCCCAACAGCTGTGCATGCTGCTGCTTTTGTTCTCTCTGTCCCTGCTACCATCCTGGCCTAACACACTTGCCCAGTGATCCTTTAATCCTGTAGTGCTAACATTTCAATCCCAAATTAAACTGTAAATTTTACAAAAGTTTGTTAACATCTCTAATTCCCAGGATGTATATTCAATTCAACCAGAAAGCGACCTTAAACTTCTACAAGCAGCTGCAATAATAATAATAATTTGAAAAAAAATGCAGTAAATGTTTAAAATAAAAATCTGTTGACAAAAAGACATCACTTACTTCAGTTGATAAATAGGTGGGGCTGAAGCTGGATATTCAGAAGGCAGAATCACCTAAAAAGAATGTTAAATATAAATATTCATCAAGTTGGACCTCCAAAACTAGCTAAATTAAAAATGGACCATGACAGAACCAATTAGAGTATTTGGGTGGTAAGCAGCTGCTATAAAAAAGAAGAAATAGGTTGCTCCATTATTATGTGATGATACAGAGGCTGTATTTCTATCGTGAGTGTATAATTCAGGCTTTTGCCCATCTGCGATACAAAGTGTCATATGGTCTACTCTCTGTGAACAGATAAAGTGGCATACGATATATCCTTTACTATAAAGAAAAAAGGTTACATTTCTTCTAACTGTTTAGGTGGCTATTTGATTTATTAAGAAATATACATAGATACTTCAGCCCTGTCTACACTAAACAAAAAAGTATTGCAACAAACTATTGTTTGGAGTTCTCTTGGCTTGTAATACTGTACAAAGCCATATAGGACAGATATCCTAAACATTTTACAAACACTGATTGCAACACCTAGTAGAAAAATCTTTCAGTCAGGTCAGGCTGAACTGTAATGCAGTCTAAAATGGTTTCTTTCTAATTCTGGAATAAAGCAATAAGAGAACCAGCTGCACCAATTCAGCCTGTCCTTCTATGCAAAATACAGTATATAAATAGATAAATAGTGAAAGGACTATCTGGGAAAGACACTTAATTAAAATATTTAAGGGTGGGGAATAAGCAAAAATAATTACTGAAAAAGTTAGCAGATAGTGATATTTTAAAGAGACAATAACTGAACAGATTGTGAAAAGCCTTTATCCTACGACTGGATCCATAGAAGCAGACCCTTGAGCCTATATGGAGCCCCATTAAAAAAGGCACAAAGATCCACCCTGCATGATTTCGATAGCAGAATCAGGGCCAAACTCTGTACCAACACCATACCTGCAAACAGAGAGTCCATTTTGGCTGCTCCAAACAATCACCAATCTTAATGCAAAATATCCTTTCATCTTCATCAACAACACACCAGTCATCACCATATATAGATGAGAGAGCGTCAATTTCATCAATCTACAAAAAAAGAAAGTTAAAAGACAAAAAAACCAACCCTCTAAGGTGCTGAGCACTCTTGATTCCCAATCACCAGAATTGTGCCCCTATCTGTACATGAAATGAAAGTTGTCAAACACATAACTTTCTGCACTGATATGATTTTTGCATTTTTTCAGTGTTACACATCAAACATTTTAAATGGACACCATCAACTTGAAAAACCACGTCTGAAAATGTCATACTATAGGTTTCCATCTGCATGGAGCCCAGTTAAAGTCAATGGAGCTGGCTCTATGCAGTCACTGGAGTCTGCAAAGAACTCATTGCAGGATTGGGGCCCATGTGAACACATTACTCTGAATTTACCAATTATATTGACAGGACAAATGGTTCTTTAAAAATGATACAGCAGACAAAACATTTAGATTAGATCAGGGGTCTCAAACACGCAGCCCGCGGGCCACATGTTATTTCTTGCAGCCCGCCAAGCTACCCTCCCCCCCATCCTCCTTGTGCCCCCCCAGCACGCCACATCCCTGCTCCCCCGCCTACCTCCCAGCACTTCCCGCTGCCAAACAGCTTTAACAGAAGTAATTCTAAAAGTAAGTGCGTGTTTTGTCCTTTGAGGGAGGTGCATTACTGAGTGTTTATATTTTATTAAAACCCCTCGGAAATGACTTCGGCATCAAAAAAAAGAACACTCATGGAAGAAAAGAGAGTTTTCCAAGACAAATGGGAGAATTTATATTTTTTCATAGAGGTAAAAGATAAAATTCACTGTCTTATTTGTCAGCAAATGATTGCTGTTCCCAAGGAGTATAACGTGCGTTGGCACTACGACATGATGCACCATGAAAAAATGATGCATTCACCGGAAAAATCCGAGAGGAAAAAGTTCGGCAATTTAAAGCAGCATTTTCCAAGCAAAGAAATTTCTTTTTGGAGATTAACAAGTCTAGCGAAGATTCAGTAAGAGCAAGTTTTGTGATAAGCAAAATGATAGCTAAATCATCATGACCTTTTACGGAAGGCCTATTCGTAAAAGAATGTCTTGTGAAGGCCAGTGAAATTTGATGTCCTTATAGGAAGAAAGTTTTTGAAGATATAAGCTTGTCTGCCAATACAGTGTCTGCAGAATAACGGATTTAGCAGATAATGTGCAAAAACAATTGATTCAAATGGCAAAAGACTTTGAAGCATTTTCAAGTGCAGTTGATGAGAGTACAGATGTATCAGATACCGCACAATGTGCAGTGTTCATTAGAGGTGTGGATTGCAATTTGAATATAACTGAAGAATTGGTAGACTTAATGCCACTGAAGGGTACCACAACGGGACGTGACATATTTCAAGGACTGGAAGAGTGCATTGAAAAAGCTGCGCTGCCACGGAACAAACTCGTATCTTTGGCTACGGATGGTGCACCATCAATGTGCTCTGAAAACGTTGGTGTGGCTGGATTATTGAAGACCAAACTGAACAGCCTCAATATATCAGGAATTAGCTTCACCAGTACACATTGCATTTTGCACCAAGAAGCCCTGTGTAGTAAAAGTCTACAAATGAAGGAAGTTATGGATGTAGTTGTTAAAACCGTTAATATTATACATGCACGAGGGCTGAATCACCGACAGTTCACTTCTTTTCTAGCAAGTATGGACAGCGAATATGGGGAACTTCTGTATCACACTCAAGTTAGATGTCTGAGTCGTGGAAATGTTTTGAAGCTTTTTTTTTTTTTTTTGCACTTAGAGAGGAGATTGATTCCTTCATGAAAATGAAAAACAAGGATATTCCACAGCTTGCTGATTCCACTGTTATCTGCAACCTTGCTTTTCTAACAGATATAACTGATCACCTGAATGCACTGAACTTGAAGCTTCAGGGTAGAAAACAGGAGATAACACAGATGTATGACAGTGTTAAGTCATTCAAAGTCAAGCTTACTTTGTGGGGGGAAAACAGCTTACTGCTGGCAATTTGGTCCATTTCTCTACTCTGAATTCCTTAGGAAAAATTGAACCCAAATCCTTGAAAGAATATGCAGATATCATTTCTAACTTACACAAACAGTTTGATGTGTGGTTTAAAGATTTCAAGGCACTTGAACACCATTTGCTATGGAAATTGACAATGTTGCAGAGAAAATGCAGATGGAGTTAGTGGAGCTTCAGTGTGATACCATTTTGAAGCAGAAGTATACAGATGTTGGAATTCCAGAATTCTACCGTTTTCTTTCACAAGAAAGATTTCCCATGTTATTCTCTGCTTCCGCAAGGGTAATGGCAATGTTTGGAAGTACATATATATGTGAACGGTTTTTCTCTTCCATGAAGATTAACAAATCTGTGTTAAGATCAAGGCTCACTGATGAACATTTGAAAGCAACACTGAGATTGGTTTCATCTCAGGATATCAAACCTAATATTGATGCTCTGGTTGATGCAAAACACTGCCAGCTAAGTGGCCAAAAATGAAATGACTGTCAAAATTAGAACTGACTTTTTGCATTACAGTTTTAAAAAAGTTAATACATTGACTTTTAATAGCATACTATATAACTCTTCATTTTTTTCATTTTTGACAATACTTTTGTATCATTGTATGAAAAGGTTTCAGTGATGTGGCCCTCGGGCCAACATACTAGTGCTCATGTGACCCTCGTGTTGATTTGAGATCCCTGGATTAGATGCTGGTGTCTTGGGAAATAGTAACAGTTCGACGGCTTTAATTTAATGACTTTTCTGCTTTTAAACTCTCAACAACAAAACTTCCTTTATTGTAGTTTTATGCATTTGATTTCCCTGATTTTGTCCGTTAAAAATATGTACAAACAAAGGTGGTGCCTACTACAGTAGTGTGTTTGGTAAATTTCCCATTGCCACACCTGTGGTAACAAATCGTGCCATTCCTAGCATAGATGAGGCTCCTGCAGCCACTGGCGTTTTTAATACACAGTGGCTCTACATAGCATAGGATTGAACACACAGACATGCAAAGGTGAAACTGCACCAGTGGTAACAGCCATGCTGGGAAACGTTCCAGTGGTTCTCAAGCTTTCTGAATTGGGAACCCCTTTCACACAGCAAGACTCTGAGTACAACCCGCCCTTATACAGCTCATGACCCCCCAGGTAATAACCTTGTGACCCCCCTGAGGGGTTGCAACCCCCAGTTTGAGAACCCTGCTTAAGACAAAGCTTAGTGGAGCCAAGGACCTGGACCCAGCACCCCTGGAGCAGGCTGCCAGGCCTTACAACAATACACATGATAACAATGTGAATAGGGACTGGCCAGGCCCCCGGTCCCATATAACTGCGTGTGTGTGAGGGGCGCAGGGGGAAGAGGCTGGCGATGGAGGGGCAGGGCCAGGCCTCTCAGGCACTGGACGGGGGGGCGAGGCTGGATGAGGGGCAGGGCTCGCAGGGGGCTGGGGAGCTGGACGGGGTGGGGCTCGCAGGAGGCGCCGAGCCCCGGGCACCACCCCCGGCGGCGGGGTCACCGCGCCCAGCCCGGCCGGGGCAGGCTCCGGAGCCGAGCCCTGTGGGTTTAACCCTTGCGCCCCCGTCACTCACTTGTCTCTGGGCCGTTTCCGGGTCACTCGCCGCCATTGGGCCCCGGGGCGGGGCACGGGGCACCCCCCCGAGGCCGATCTCCCCACCCCCCACGGAGGCGTGCACGGTGCGAAGGCGCATGCGCGGCTGGACTGACAGGTGGCGGCGGCGGAGGCCTTGGTCCGGGTGTTCTGCTCCGCTCCTGGGCCGCGCAGCGTCCCGCGGGCAGCGGCGGGAGGGTGGCCCGAACCGATGGAGCCGCCCTAGAACAGCTGCAATCGGATCCGCCAATTAGTAACCCGGCCGCGTGCGTGACTGGGCAGGCTGCGCTGTTCGCTTTGAAACGTACCTAACCCCGCTTAAATCCATCTATGGCCTTCGGGGCCAGCCTGTGTGCACGCGGTCTTGTAGCTATTTCCCTGCCTGCCCGCCCAGTGTTTGCAACACCAGCCTCTCTTAATTCAGTTGTAAACTCTTCAAGGCATGAACTCTTTTAAGGTGATCTACCAACACGCAGCACGATGGGCCCCGATCCTGATTTTAGCCTCTAGACTTACTATATGGTGAAAAACTCAAAATGTTTTAATTTCATTAAAGCTGCGACATAATTCTGAGTCTGCCATAGCAGAAGGCAGGGAACTGGTGTCACAGTTACAGGGCCAGCTGCACCTCTGTCCCCTTCCTGGTCTCTCCCAGCGCACACAGTTGTCTGGCCTTGTGCCCTTACCTTTTCTGGGATGGAATTGTGCAATTCTCCCACTCCTAGACCAGGCTCGGGGCTTCAGTATCCGTTATCAACCATACTTACGCAGTGATGAGGGTTTGGGACATGTAGTTCTTTTCAGGAGTCTGTGACCAGTAGAATGCAGTGATCAGGCAACCTTTTTAAACAAAAGTACTGTTTATTTTAACAGTAGGAAAAAGCATCTATTCTTATATTACTGTAGCACTTAGCAGAGCTAGTCATTGACTAGGACCCGGTGCCCAGCAGTGCGCAAGCACAACGAAAAGACAATCTCTGCCCCCAAAGAGCTTACAAACTAAGTAGAACACAAGAGACAACAGACAGAGACAAACAGATGAGGGAGTACAAGGAGTCAGCATTATAGGCAATGGTCTCAATCCATCAGCAGCCTAACTTGTCAAGTTTCTTGTAGGCATCACAGCAGAGGAGAGTTCTGAGAAGGGGTTCGGAGGAGGATAATTAGGCAGCTTTGAGAATGTTTATGGGGAACATCTCCGAAGCATGAGGGGCAGCATGGGAGAAACCATGAAGGTGCTTATTTGAAAATGTAACAAGTGGGTGATGGAGGCTGGCATGGGCTGATTGGAGGTAAGCATCAACTTCTTGATAGTGAATGAGAGATGATAGGTAAGGTGAGGATTACTCATGAAGGACCTTGAAAATGAAGACAAGCAGCTTATGTTTAATGCGATAGAGAAGGGGAAGCCAGTGGAGGGATGCAAAGAGAGGAGTGACATGCTTAAAGCTACAGCCTAGGAAAATGATCTTTGCCAAAGTATTCTGAATGGCTATGAGAAAAGCAAGATGGCATTTGTTATGTCCAGAAAGATGTTGCAGTAATTGAGATGCAAGTTTATGAGAACTTGGATGAGAGTTTTAGCTGTGTGAATGGATAAGAAAGGCTGTTTTATAGACATTATGCAGAAAGAATTAGCAAGATTTAGATATAGTCTGGATATGGGGACCTAGAGAGAGAAAAAGGAATTTAAAGTAACAAACAGTCTACACACATTTCTATTTTACCATCCTATGATAGTGACCAAGGCAGACCTAGCTTCTTCAGACACCATAGGTCAGGGGTGGGCAAACTACGGCCTGCTGGCCACATCTGGCCCTCAGGACTGTCCTGCCCGGCCCCCAAGCTCCTGGCCCGGGAAGCTAGCCCCCGGCCCCTCCCCCGCTGTTCCCCCTGGCCCGCAGCCTCAGCTCGCTTGCTCCGCCACCGGCGCAATGCTCTGGGCGGCGGGGCTGTGAGCTCCTGGGGCAGCTGCAGAGCCCGGCCTGACCCGGTGCTCTATGCTGCGTGGTAGCAGCGGCGGCAGCGTGGCCCGGCTCCAGCCACCGATGCTCCTGATCTGATCTGGCTTTTGGCCAATGTGCTGCCTCAGTTTCCCTCAATATCACACCTTATTTTCTCCTCAGATGGTTTTCTGGCTCTCAGTACCATTAGGTTGCAGAGGTAACTTAGCCCTCTGGCTAAGTCATGAAAGTCTACCTCTTCAGAGAGTTAATCCAGCCTCCCAACAGAAACACAATCCCCCACCCCCAAATGTTCTGCCCCAGCCTGTGCCAGGGGTTAATTTCAGAGATGCAGGATCAGGCCATAACTATCTACCTAGCTATCTGGCCTCCATCACCACAGTTGAAAACAAAAATTAATTATTCCATAAACACAGAATATAAAAATACTGTTAAAGCTTTTTTAGTTAATAGGACTACTCATGTTCTCTAAATTCCAGCACAAGCTTCATTGCTGAATCATGGTCTAAAGGCACAATGTGGCTGACTTTTTATATTTTAAAACCAACTTATGAAAAATAATAATAGTATTGTCTTCAGTTTAATCTGAAATATCATTTATCTCTCTATTAGTAGGAATAAACAGCTCACTGCATACACTATACTTACAGCTTTAGTAACTGATAAAGACATATCATAGCTGTTGAGGTTGATGTGAAATGCTGAAGCTGTGCACATAAGATGGGCTACAACTTGCTGAAGTTTGTAGAGGTCTCTTCCAAATATCCACTTGTCTGTGAGGGCATAAGAGATACACCTCTACCCCGAAATAACGCTGTCCTCGGGAGCCAAAAAATCTTACCGTGTTATAGGTGAAGCCGCGTTATATCGAACTTGCTTTGATCCACCGGAGTGCGCTGCCTCGCCCCCCCCGGAGCGCTGTTTTACCGCGTTCTATCTGAATTCGTGTTATATCGGGTCACGTTATATCGGGGTAGAGGTGTATACACAGGAATACAGAATGCTTCTATGGAAAGAAATCAAATACAAAATGCAGTTATTGTAGTCCAGGTTGCATGTGGTGCTAACGGAGAAACAGAACCATTAAAGATACATCAATACAAATTTCAGATTGGAATTTATACTGAAGTTCTTGTGTTCTCATGAAATCAGTGTGTGGTTTCCTACATATTAGGGGTAAATTCCTGGCTCTGTTGAAGTCAGTGGGAGTTTTGCCACTGATTTCAGTGGAGACAGAATTTCACTTTAGGTCTAAAAAACATTTTTTGTACTTTATTAATTTTCTATCAAATAAATGTCACTACTTATTGGTTGTACTTTCCATACTATCACTGTTTAAGAGGAACAACTGAGCTATAGAAGTTGACATTTTTAACACAGTTTTGAAATGTTAGAACTAAAACAGGGTTTATTAATAATGTACTAGGTATTGGAATTAGATAGTCATTCTGTTGTTTGATTAAAAATTAGTCCTCCAAAATTAGTTTTCTAAAAATTAATTCCTATTACCAACTTTATGTCCGCTAAAAAGCATGATACAATATCTTATGTTATATAATTATATACATGCACTGCAATACCTTGGTCTGTCTTAAGTATTATTCAAGTATTTTCGGATTGGTACTTAATTTCAAAGTAGAAAAAACAAGGAGGTAAATGATTTACAATATTTGCAAGGTTGACTAGTTAATCTCTACTGTGTGACAATCCACAGTGAAAAGTGAAATTCAAAATTTTAAAGATATATGATTCAATTGATGAGCAAAACTAGCTTCAAACAACAACTTCTAAACTGAGGTGATTTTAATATCTATACTACTACAATTGTTGCCTTTTTTTTACAAGGAAAATATTGCATGTTGTGATGTGATGTGATAAAAAAGATCATTAATGAGACACACCTAAGAACTTATATCCCTCTTAAGTGCAGTATGCAATTTCCTGCACATTAGTCTGCTAAGTATACCGTATACTTGGTAAACTTTCTTAAGTTGAGAAATAACTTAGTGACATAAACCGTTTTTATTTGCCTTAAAGATATCTTTAACATTGATATTATAAATAATACATTGCTTCATTATACTATTATAACTTACCCATTTCAAAACCCAAAATAGCCAAATTAAAAAATAAATAATTACTTCTTTGTCTAAGATTTTTGTCCACCACAATGGTCCAGATAACCAAGGCATTTCTAAGAACTGTAATAAGGACTAACAAAACCATAGGAACTGCCAATAATATCAAAACACCTAATGAAAAAGTTGTTCCTAGGGCCTTACTGAATGAAGTTAGATTTTTGATATGTGTTATATCCACACATAGAGCATTAGCACTGTTGTTATTCATATTTTGCATCTACTTCAGCTCACTTAACCAAGGAATTCAGCATAGTAAATTAACCCCATAAATGAATGCTGAAAAATATTTTTTTCAGTAAGATACATTAAAAAAGCAATTATTGGTATACCCAAAAAAATATGTCTAGTGCAAGAAAATGAACTGCAAGATTGTGATGCTTGACCATTAAAAAAATTGTGTAAGTCTTCCAGGTTCTAAAAACATAAGTGTAGGTATAATTTCTTTTAAACTCAAATTGCAGAAGTGTCACCACTATTGTGTAGAGTTTTCACATCCCCTTTTAAAATTCAGTGTTTCTTTCTCCATCGTAGACCTATTTTCGGTATCTGTGATAGTAAAGATGTCTTGAAAATACATTTCTATTAGTAAATAATTTGATTATTAATTTCTCCATTTTTTGCAAAGTATGTGAGCCACCTTTTCTCTGCAATTTATAATTTGAATGTTTTCTTTTTGTATATTTTCATAGAGATTCAATAGTGAAGAATTAAGATAAGATACATTTTCCCTTTCCTCTAAATTTCTTTGGAAAGAAAGCAAATAAATATACTTTGTTAATATGTTTCTGTTTATATTGTTATAGTTGAAAGCTCAGATATAGCAAAATTAGATCTGACTACTTTTTTGTTCTGACAATAACCAATGACTCCTCAAAAGAAGGGGTTGATGATAGAAATAGTTTTGCATTGGCAAATGTGTGATTTGTGTATGTGTTGAGAAAGTGAGTATGAACTAATTCAGCAGCTAGT